CACACACACACACACACACACACACATTGTCTTCATACAGTAACATCTCTGGAAGTATACAAGATTTTCAGTCAGTACAGAATGCTTCATCAGTATGAGACTGTCTGGTTTTTAAAAATCTTTGGGAAAGAGAAAAAAAATCAAGCTTGACTCCTACAATAATGTGCTCAGTAGTAAACAGCAAGTGTATTCTCCCTGGTATAGCCAGTTCAAAGGGGAACAATATTTCCAACAATACTCTACAACTCAACCTTTGTCACACTTAGAAAAGCCTTTACTGCCCTTCGCATCCAGACAATGCCAACAGCCTACTTGGAAGGAAGGTATAAAGGGATCCCTGATACACAGCAGCTTTGCATCTGTGGTTCGGAGGAGGTGAAAGATTAAGCCCCTTATCTTTTATATTGCCCTTCCTATGAGGATCCTAGGGGACATTTCCTAAGTGAGCTTTTAAAAGCAAAGGCAGGTTGGTTGCAGCATGGCATTACTTGTGATCTGCTGGGCAGACAATTCTAAATTCATTACTTTTAAGGTTGCTACTTTTGCAGTAGCTGCCCAAAAGATCTGTAGTAATTTTATAAAAATAATAATGGTAAACTGTGTAGGGGATGAGATGTAGAGGGAATCGTATGCCAGTTTGTTTTGCCACTGACCTCCTGTTGCTTAAGCTATTAAAGTTGTCCCTACCCCTGTCTATAAGTTAATAAGTTGTCCTCCAGTGAAACAGATGGTGGTTGTTTGTAATATTGTGTAATGGTCCTTGTGCCTTTTACAAATAAACTGTTGTTGTATGTTGTTATATGATGGGGTTACGGGAGAGAGCCTTCTTGGTAGCTGCACCCAAGTTGTGCTATTCCTTTCCGTGGGAGGTTTAGGCTGCTGCCACACTGCAGAATTAATGCAGTTTGATACCATTTTAACTGCCATGGCTCCATCCTATTGAATCCTAGGGTTTTGTTCTTTTTTGTGGTACCAGAGCTCTCTGACAGAGAAGGCTAAATATCTCCTGAAACTACAAATCCCATAATTCTATAGCATTGATCTATGACAGTTAAACTGGTGTCAAACTGCATTAATTCTGCAGTGTAGATGCCACCTAAGTTGGCATCCTGTCTGTTCTATTTCCATAATCAAGCAAATATGTTCTTATTTAGGAAGCCCTTAGGATCTTAACTTACAGTGGCAGAAGGTCTTTTGATAAGGTGTGCTATGCTTTTATCCATTTTATCATGTTTTAATGTGTTTCACAACTGTGCTAAGTAAGTGTTTTTAATAGAACTGTTTATTTAATGGTGGTTGTACTTTTGGATCAAATTGTTTTTAGCTAGACGTTGTTTTAATTTGTTGCAAGCTTCCTTGACTTCCATACTGGAAGAAAAGTGGAAATTTAATAATAATTATGCGCTTCCTTATGAAGATTTTAGGACACCGTCTACGTTTTGTAACTGTATGAATCCTAACTACTATCAGCAGTGGACTGTAAAGAGGATGAGTTGTTGCAGCTGCTACTATTATTGTTGGTCAGACATTTTATCCTGTAATTTATTGTTTTGTTCCTGTTTTTTCTAAACCTGCTTTGTGATTCCTTTGTCTAATGTATGTATGGCAGTAGTATACTGTTTTATTGGAATGTTTTGTAATGGATGTTGTACCACAGACAAAGAAAACTTTATTGATTGAATCGTAGCTACATTATAGAAATGTAACAAAACCCAGTTAGGTGTTATTCAGACGTAATAATAATTCTGGTAGAATCTGGGTTGAATCTTTGTTGTTCACATGTATTTTGAAGGCATCTGATTAAGTTTGGGGGGGGGGCTGCCAAAAATCCCTCTTAACCTAGGATAATCGACCTTGGTTTTTCCCCACGTTTTCTTAAAAGATTTGCATTGTTGGCTGTGTGAATAACTGATGCAAATAGATCTGGGATAAATTGGGATAAAACTCTGCATGCCTTGAATGTCTTTCGAATCCATTTGCATCATCGACTCCATCAGCAGTGTTGACAAGTGTGAGCAACCAAACTCACTGAGATGTGCATAGATGTGAGTCTGATAAAATATATATATAGTATGAACAACAAAACTGTAATGCCTGTGTGAGATTATTTGCGTTGTTGTGCTAAAAAACAATGTCTAAATGACCCTTTAGTGAATTGTGAAGATGTACACTTGGTCACTGGCAAAAATGCTCCAATGTGCACCAGGCATTTCTGATGTGCATACGATACTCCTGTTGTATTCCAGCACTTCCTAGACAGTATGTGGATCCACACTAGGGTAAAGAAAATAGTGAGAATAGTGAGATACAGCCCTGGGTGTTACAGGCAAAACAAAAAACCTTCCAATCCAGATTGTGAAAAGTAGTTAGAGCCTTAGTGCATTATAAAACAAACCCAGCAGGCAATTGAAAAGACATGTGTTTTTTTCCTTCCCTCTGCATGACATTGTTCACTTTCGTTCTCTTCAGATTGTAAAAGCATGGGAGAGGGTTGTAAAAGTGTATTAAAGGTATCCCTTTTGCCAAGCTGGAAAAATCCATTTGGCAAAAATGACGCTTTTACCACGCTCTCCCACACTTTTACAACCTGATGGCAATCAACGTCATGTGGGGAGAAAAAAAGAAATGTGCATCTTTTCATTTGCCTGCCAGGTTTGTTTAATGTGATAACGTGATAAGGCTCTCCGTTACCAAAATATGTAAGTAAATAAATGAGCTGCATCCTAGTTCTATTACAACATCAGTTGGAGTTCTACCTTACAGCTCTTACAATGCTTATCGCATTCTTAAATAAATCGCAAAGCAGGGATGGACCCAGGATGGATAAGTATGCGGCATCCTAATATTATCAGAAGGATTTAGCCACTGAATCCACTGCCTGGGTCCATCCCTGCTTTGAAAAGAGCCATGCTGAGCACCCCTGGGAGCGGGGATGGACCCGGGATGGACCCGGCCAGCAGATACAGTGGCTAAATCCTTCTGATAATATCAGGATGCCGCCCAATTTAAATTTTAAACCAGATCAGGTAAGGCAATTTATTTAAGTATACGATAAGCTCTGTGAACCGATAACACAGTTTTCATGGCAAAATTTGTTTGGAGGAGGTTTGTCATTGCCTTCCCCTGAGGCTCAGAGCATGTGACATATTCAAAGTCACCCAGTGGGTATTGTAGCCAAACTAGGAATCGAACCCTGATTTCCAGAGTCATAGTCCAGTGCTCAAACCACTACACTATTCTGGCTTTCAACAACTCCCACAATCCCCGAGAAGTCAGGGGAACTGGAATCTAAATGGGTAATGTCTCTAACCTCTAGATAGTTCCCTCACCCAGCCACACCCATCCTCCTACTGAATGGAGGTTTCTAGGCATTGTGATAAAAAAGTAACTTTTCCAAGCTCCCACCCACACCCACCCACTGATGCCACCTCAGGCTTAATGGCAAGAAGATGTAACATTTCCATCCTGCAAAAACCTCCCTAAAGACCTGTAAAAGTTCTGGCTTCCACCCTTTGCTCATTGCCGGCGATAGTGGAATGAGAACATTATTGCCATCTATGAACATTTCCCTTGGTGTCTTGCCCGTTATTTTAAGTTTTCTCTTCTCATTAATGAGGCCATCCGCTTTTCTCTTCCTTGCTTTTTAAAACAGCTCTCAACGTTTGTTCCTCATCATCTGTGCCTTGGTTTCATTGCTAATGTGAGTTTCTTCCTCTCTTTTGCTTTTATTTCTTGCGAGATTGCCATCTGTTTGGTGTTTTCAATTTTTGTAAAAAGAAAAAAAGAAAAGAAAAGAAAAAAAAAGTCCTCTAAAACTCACAACTCCTTGTTCAGTAAAACTACACAGTTTTCATCTCTCATCTCCACTGAGTGTGCGTCATGTTCACCTTCTGCTGAGTGCGCAGAGGTCGC